TTCTACTCAGTTCATGACCACCTGCCTAGGGATGATATGGCTGACAATAACTGGGTCTTTCTACATCAATCAACAGTCAAGATAATCCCCTACAGACATGCCCACGGGTCAATTTAATCTAAGCGGTTCCTCAGTTGAGGCTGTCCTTTCAGATGACTCTACTCTGTGTCGAGATGACAGCTAAAGCTAACTAGGCCAGCTTCTGAAATGCCTGGTGAAGTGGCCCTGTAGCTGCTCTCAGCTCAGCAGGAAGCCCTGGGGTGCAGTCCTTTCTGCCCAGCCTATCATAGAGCATTACTGAGACAATGAAACCAATTTTGACAGCTTTTCTTTTTTTCTTTTTTAATTTTTATATTAATCACAGTTTATTTACTTTGTATCCCAGCTGTAGCCCCCTCCCTCATTCCCTCCCAATCCTACCCTTCCTCCCACATCTCCTCCTTGCCCCTCTCTAAGTCCACTGATAGGGGAGGTCCTCCTCCCCGTCCATCTAACTCTAGTTTATAAGGTCTCATCAGGACTGGCCGCAATGTCCTCCTCTATGGCCTAGCAGGACTGCTCCTCCCTAGGGGGTGGGGGCAAAGAGCCTGCCACTGAGTTCATGTCAGAGACAGTCCCTGTTCCCCTTATTAGGAAAACCCCCTTGGATGCTAAGCTGCCATGGGCTACATCTGAGCAGAGATTCTAGGTTATATACATGCATGGTCCTTGGTTGGAGAATCAGTCTCAGACAAGCCCCTGTGCCCAGATACATTTGGTCCTTGTGGCGCTCCCATCCTCTCCAGGTCTCACTAACTCCACCTTCTTTCATATGATTCCCTGCACTCTGCCCAAGGTTTGGTTATGAGTCTCAGCATCTGCTTTGATACACTGCTAGGGAGAGTCTTTCAGAGGTCCTCTGCGGTAGTCTCCTGTCCTGTTTCTTGTTTTCTCCTACTTCCAGTGTCCATCCCATTTGTCTAAGTGAGGGTTGATCATCTTACTCTGGGACCTCCCTCTTGTTTAGCTTCTTTAGGTGCACAGATTTTAGTGTGTTTATTCTATCTTATAGGTCTAGGAAACCAATATTTAAGATGTAGAATTTTTTTATACGGATAAGATAAAATTCTTTGTTGTTGTTGTTGTTGTTATTTTTTTCATTTATTTACTTATATAGCATTCTTCCTGCATGTGAGCCAGAAGAGGGCACCAGATCTCACTATAGATGGTTATGAGCCACCATGCTGGGAATTGAACTCAGGACCTTTAGGAAGAACAGCCAGTATTCTTAACCTCTGAGCCATCTCTCCAGGCCAAGATAAAATTCTTAATGTTAGTATTTACTATTAATTTTAGTGCCTTCTAGTATATAAAATATTTGGTTTTGATATTTAGATGTCTGCTCAACATATAAAGCCAATATTTATTACTTGTTCAACCTTTAAGTTCTGATGTCTGTTTAAAATGTGTGAAGACATTTAACCCACCCAGCAGCACTGAGTACAAGTACAGATATATATATATATATATATATATATATGCATACATATACACAGCTCTATTTTCCATACATCATAATCAAAGCTAAAACAGAAAAATAGTTAACTATTTCCAGATCCAGACTGAGTGTTCTACAACTTGAGTCTTTTCAACTGCATCATTAAACCTAAGAAGGCCTCTACAAACAGACACATTCAGCCTCATTTAATGTTTTAGCCCATTCTGACCTTAGAAGCTTAAAGACAGAAAGCACTGCCCTTGGCATTTTATATTGAAAGAATATTAAATGATTAGGGTTATTTTTATCCGTACAAGGGCCATTGAAGATGGAAACTTTTTTCTAACAGTCTTGGGTTCAGGAGAACTTCTAAATGAAAGCAGATATGAAGTAACTTCCAAAGGCCAAGATGTAATTATCCCAGTTCTCTTCACCAATCTTCTATTACCTGTTCCCACTAGAAAATCTTCATGACACAGAAACTAACCAAGCACAATAGGCTACCTAATGATAGCACTGGAGACGTAGGGCACATGAGAACTTACTATTTTTGCAATTTTATTTATTTAGATGAGCTTGAATCTTTCTAAGGGCTCAGAATGGAACAGAATAAGTGAACGGAAAACAGCGAATTGACTATTAATCCTAGAGTAACATATCAGGAACAACAGAGTTTATTCCTGGAGTGATCAGAGGTTTGAAGTCAGACTCGTGGGTAATTGTGATTTACATTGCCAGTTTCCAAACATAACCATGGCAAGTTCACAATAATAAACGTAAACTGGCTGGGGGGGGGGGGGGCTCGGTAGGAAGAGCACTTCCTGCAATAACATGAGGATCTGAGTTCAGCCCCCAGGTAATATTTCTGGCATGGCTGGACCTGTTACCCAGTCACAGTGGAGTATTAGAAACAAGAGGCTTCAAACCCAGGCAGCCTAGCAGGAAAACGGGGAGTTACAGGTACAATAAGAGAGCCTGTCTCAAAGTAAATAAGGAAGAAAATGATAAATTAGGACAACTAACATCCTCCTCTGTATGAGCACACGTGAGGATGCATACAATTGTGTCTGTGAGTGTGTACACACAGAGAGAGGGGGGGGAAAGAGAGAGAAAGATCATATAAACACAAAACACACACATCCATAATTTTTGAGTATACCAGCTTTTTCCTCATAAGCCCTGATTTAAATGACCCTTTCATTCATTCCTCAGTTTTTCGTTTACTAAATCTAAACATCCGGAAATACACTGTGAAATTCAGATACTCCTTGACCAATGATGGGGTTATACCCTGATAACACCATCCAGAGTTGAAACTACTGCAAGATGAAAATGCACAGTACATCTTGATGGGTTTAACACACCCAACACCTAGTTTACAAGTGGGATACACTTACCCATCTATCCTGAACTTCACAACTTTACAATCAGATCTCTGTGTGTGTCTCTCTGCTCTCTCTCTCTCTCTCTCTGCGTCCCCTCCCCCCTCTAATGACTTGACCTGGGGCTCTGTCTGCTGCTACCCCCTAACATCATTAGCAGATGTTCTACAGAAAATCACTGGCTAAGTAAAAGACCAAACTACAGAACCCAAAGAGAAGTTCATCCTGAATTTATACACCTTTTGACAGTGCTAATGCTGAAAACTCACCAGTCAAGTCAGTATAAGTCAAGCACATTCCATCGGATAAGCTTGCACTCTAGTTGAGAAGACAGCGATACACAAGTAACTAAACAAACACAAAATCAAAAGTAATCTTCATGAAGGAAATGAACAAGCTATAAAGATAAATGAGGAGGTCAGGGGAGTAGGGAAGGATAGGATGCTTCGGAACTTGGGGGAATTTTCTAACATACATTATTTGCACCTAATCCTAAAGGATAAGAAGGAGCCACCAGGTGAGGAGTATTTCATACAGAAATATTTCTGCATGTAAAACCTTAAGGAGGTTCATCCTCTTTGCCTTTCGGGATGGGGACTGAGCATTTTAGTCAGAGTTCTTCCTCTTGATTAGTTTCTTTAGATGTACAGATTTTAGTAGGTTTATCATATATTGTATGTCTATATGAGTGAGCATATACCGTGTGTGTCTTTCTGCTTCTGGGACAGCTCACTCAGGATGATCCTTTCCAGTTCCCACCATTTACCTGCAAATTTCATGATTTCCTTGTTTTTCATTGTGGAGTAATATTTCATTGTATAGATGTACCACAGTTTCTGTATCCATTCCTCAGGTGAGGGGCATCTGGGCTGTTTCCAGCTTCTGGCTATTACAAATAAAGCTGCTACAAACATGGTTGAGCAAATGTCCTTATTGTGTACTTGAGCCTCTTTTGGATATATGCCTAAGAATGGTATGGCTGGATCTTGAGGAAGCGCTATTCCTAGTTGTCTGAGAAAGTGCCAGATTGATTTCCAGAGTGGCTGTACAAGTTTACATTCCCACCAGCAGTGAAGGAGGGTTTCCCTCTCTCTACAACCTCTCCAGCGTGTGTTGTCACTTGAGTTTTTGATCTTGGCCATTCTGGTGGGTGTAAGGTGAAATCTCAGGGTCGTTTTGATTTGCATTTCCCTGATGGCTAATGAGGTTGAGCATTTCTTTAAGTGTTTCTCTGCCATTCGATATTCTTCTATTGAGAATTCTCTGTTTAGCTCTGTTCCCCATTTTTTAATTGGATTACTTGGTTTGTTGCTTTTCAGCTTCTTTAGTTCTTTATATATACTGGATATTAGCCCTCTGTCAGATAGATATCCAGTTAGACCAGCACCATTTATTGAAGATGCTATCTTTTTTCCATTGTATGGTTTTGGCATCTTTGTCAAAGATCAGGTGTCCATAAGTGTTGGGTTTATTTCTGGGTCTTCTGTTTGGTTCCATTGATCCACCATTCTGTTTCTATGCCAGTACCATGCAGTTTTTATTACTGTTGCTTTATAGTACAGCTTAAGATCAGGGATGGAGATACCTCCAGAAGATCTTTTATTGTAGAAGATTGTTTTAGCAATTCTCGGTTTCTTGTTATTCCATATGAAGTTGAGAATTTTTCTTTCAAGGTCTGTAAAGAATTGTGTTGGTAATTTGATGGGAATTGCATTGAATCTGTAGATTGCTTTTGGTAAGATGGCCATCTTTACTATGTTAATACTGCTAAGCCATGAGCATGGGAGATATTTCCATCAAGTACCAAAGTTGCCAAAAATGTAGAAAAACTCTATCTCAAAAAGGAAATTTCTGGCTAACACAAAAACTTTAAAATTATTGGTTTTCAACAAAGAAAATATTCACAGATGTAGGTATATAAAATATTCAAAAGATAATGATAGATAAAATGGGACTTAAGATGTAACTAGTATGAAAATTATTTAGCATAATAAAATATCATTAATACAATTGATCAACTGAGAGGGCCTTTAAAATTAGATTTAAGATTTCACAAGAAGTGAAACATTGAAAATATTGCCAGGATAACATACAAAATCTGCTAGATATTGGGTTTTAAATGGTGTCTTGATTTCTTTCAGATCACTCCAGGGAGCAAGGCGGCAGCTGCCAACCTGTGTCCTGGAGATGTCATCCTGGCTATTGATGGCTTTGGTACGGAGTCCATGACTCACGCTGATGCACAGGACAGGATTAAAGCAGCAGCGTACCAGCTGAGTCTCAAGATTGACAGGTGCACCTTGACTAATAGGGTCAAAACTTGATCTGTTTTTTTTTTGTTGTTGTTTTTGTTTTTTGTTTTTTTCAGGAGAACCTGAACCAGAGCTCTAAATGGTCTCATCTGCCTCCTGAGAATGTCATAGACCTACAATTTTGATGGAGTTTTTTTGTTTTTTGTTTTTTATGTATCAGCTACTTTATTTTTGTATTCACTGAAATTAGTCAATCTAGCATTTGTGGATGAACCGTTAAAAAAAAATCATTTTTCTGAAATGTCAAAACTAAAATGGTGCAGAGGAATGACTTCTCATAGCAGCTCAGGCACTTGCTACTTTGTACTTCTACAAAGTAGAATGAGCAGCTGACCATGCCTGTGGTATGGAATAAGACTGAGAGATGATCTATAAAGAATCTCTTGATTTTCCCAGGTGTGACCATGTTAAATTGGGTCGCTAATATCCTTTATACTCTCTGCTGTTTTGTACAGAGTCATATCAAAAGACTGTTACGAGGTGTGAAGAACACAATGCGCATACGTTAAATATGCAAATATTTCTAGCCCCACCCCCTAGAGTAGAAATCCAACTCCAGTTCTTAGGAGAGCCCTGATATGAGGCTGAAAATAATGAACTAACAATTGGTAATGTGGCTGCCATGTTGCTGTTATACTCACAGTTATCTCCACGCGTTCAGGAGACTCAACCCATCAGCCATCCATAAGCGTCACGAAGTGAAATAGATTTTCTCTTGGCGCCTTCTCTTCTGAGCCACAGATGCACTGACAGCACTGGACAAACCGTTGCTCTTTGCTGCCAGTCACAGAGCCCTGTGGCCCATCTCTCCCTGCTCCTGTGGTGGCCTTAGCAGGGTAGGAGAGGAGAGAGACTCTTACTCCTGGTGTATTCGCTGTGTCTCTATATCCCCCCCCTTCTGTTCTTTCACACACTGGAGGTGTACTTTCTTTAGACACCATGCAATTCAAGCAGTCTTCCTGGGCTCTCAGTTCTTCAGAAGGAAACTAAAAATATAAGACTAACTAAACAGGGATATACAGAATAAGTAAAAAAAAAAAAAAAAAAAAAACTATAATAATAATAACATTTTTTTTGGCTTAAATTAGCAAAGATTGCTAGTAGTTTTCAAAAACATAATGGGAAATAATGTGTATTTTTCTAAAATTTATTTATTTTTTTATTAATTATAGTTTATTCACTTTGTTATCCCAGCTGTAGCCCCCTTTCCCACTCCCTCTCTATCCCTACTTCCCTCCCTCATCTCCTCCCTGCCCCTCTCCAAGTCCACTGATGGGGGGAGGTCCTCCACCCCTTCCCTCTGACCCTAGCCTATCAGGTCTCATCAGGACTGGCTGCATTGTCTTCCTCTGTGACCTGGTAAGGCTGCTCCCAACTCAGGGGAAGGTGATCAAAGAGCCAGCCACTGAGTTTATGTCAGAGACAGTCCCTGTTACCCTTACGAGGAAACCCAGTTGGAGAATGAGCTGCCATGGGCTACAACTGTGCAGAGGTACTTGGTTATCTCCATACATGGACCTTGGTTAGAATATCAGTCTCAGAAAAGACCCCTTTGTGTAGATTTTTTGGTTTCGTTGCTCTCTTTGTGGCGCTCCTGACCCTTCCAGGTCTTTCTATCTCCCCCTTCTTTCATAAGGTTCCCTGCATTCTGCCCAAAGTTTGGCTAGGAGTCTCAGCATCTGCTTTGATACCCTACTGAGTAGAGTCTTTCAGAGGACCCCTGTGGCAGGCTCCTGTCCTGTTTTCTCCCTCTTCCAAGATCTATCCCGTTTGCCTTCCTGACTGAGGATTTATCATCTTACCCAGGGTCCTCCTTCTTGCTTAGCTTCTTTAGGTGTATAGATTTTAGTATGTTTATCCTATATTATATGTCTAATAGGAATAGCTATACCATTCCTAGGCATATATCCAAACTATGCTCAATTATACAACAGGACATTTGCTCAACCATGCTCATAGCAGCTTTACTTATAATAGCCAGAACCTGGAAACAACCCAGATGTCCCTCATTTGAGGAATGGATACAGAAATCGTGGTACATTTACATAATGGAATACTATTCAGCAATTAAAAGCAAGGAAATGATGAAATTTGCAGGCAAATGGTGGGATCCAGAAAAGATCATCCTGAGTGAGGTATCCCAGAAGCAGAAAAGACACACATGGTATAATAATGTGTATTTAAAAAGAAGCGCCATCTGGATTTAGAGTTTGCAAACTTTGTTTATTTGCAGGGCAGAAACCCGCTTGTGGTCTCCACAGGTGTCTGAAGATGGAAAAGCGCATCCTTTCAAAATCAATTTAGAAGCTGAGCCACAGGTATGAAGTGAAGAGTCATGTTTTCTGTTCAAGGGTGGGAGTCTCCCAGTGTGAAAAGGTGGCAGGTCTAAAAATCAGAACAAGTCACCCATGAAGCTGTGAATCTACTCTCTACAATTAATTTTTATTATTCATGTTTTCTTACATCCAGGGAAAAACAGAGGAAGTGTCTAGGTAAAAAAAATCTCTTTAAAAATAAAGTCTATTCTTTGACCTTGGGAAATATAGGCAAGGTTGCTCCAAGGTTGGTGCCAGTGTGGAAAAGACAGAAAGTTCAGCCCAGGCCATCCAGGACTATATATTGAAACCATGATACACAAAAGAGAGAGAGAGAGAGAGAGAGAGAGAGAGAGAGAGAGAGACCTCATTAGGAACAATTTCACTAAATCTGGAGTCCACTTTTTTTTAAATGTCTTGTGATAGACTTCTGCCAAATAAATGGCCATGATGTAAGCTAAGAACTTTAAATGTTCCAATCAAGCAAAATAAAAACTAGGCTGAGCCATTTGAAACAGGTGCCTCTAATCTATGTTACTGTGTTCTTCAATCCTGAAGGCCTTTGCAGAGGTCTTATTTTGACATCCTTCTTTAATTCTCAATTCTGATATTCTATAATTAAATTTACTTTACCCCAAAAGAATTGAATTGTGTTATCACAGAGATATTCTGCTGGTGCAGCCGACTTATGAAAACTAAAGGACTTTTCCCTTGAGGCAACCCTGTCTCATAAGCCACGTGAATCGCATCATCTGATGATGCTTATCTGGCTGTGTCTACTTTCAGAAAATCCGTCCTCCCCAAAGCTGAAATTGAATCAAACCTCAATTATAATGCACTGGAAAAATCTAATTAAGAACAGGGTTTTAGAACCTCTGCTTGGAAGCTGCCAAGGCTTACAGAAACAAAGATGTGTATTTAATATCATCTTTGAAACAAGCTTTCCTATTAAAATGCTAGATGTTTCTAGTGTGTAGTTTTCTATATACCTAATGAAGACTGTCTGAGAACAGATTTAGAGCTCACACTTCAGCACCCTTCCCCTTCCCAGCTTCATTGCCCTTTGAATTTGTCTTCCATGTTTTCTACCTCGCCCAGCAGGGCTCTGTTTTCTCTTCACAAAATAGACATAGCACAAGATAAGGACAAGCATCACATACGCTACTCAACGATTTAAATAAACCAGCATAAGCAAAGGCCTGACACCAGTCAAAAGAGTGGGAGTCCTTGTGCTAAGGGTCTTTTCTCCTTAACCCCAAAACTGTCAGAAGCCTCCCCAACTTTCCTGACAATACACCTGCTTATGTAAGGGTTGTGGTCTTCACTGCCACTGTGTGACAAGGAAGAGTCCCTCCCTCATGACTATTGCAGACCATTCAAAATTGCGCTCCTTCAAAGCTTTGTTTTAGTTAAAATACAATTCCCTCCCCGGGACACACACACAGAAAAGGAAACATAACACGTAGCCTGTAGACGGAAGACTTTATAAGATTCTTCCCCTAGCTTTTGACTAAAAGGGAAGGGAGGGTCTGCCCCTAAAAAAACTATGAGCAAAAAGAAGGGTAAATGGGCCTCAAAGAAAATGAACAGGATATAGAATATTCTAAAGACAAGAGCCACTTGTCTGTTTTCCTTACTGAGACTGCCCCAGGGAGAGCCTGCAGCAAGAACCCAGGAAATTGCGGATTAATGAATGAGTGTAGTTAGAGGAGGGCTGGAGCATAGACTGAGCAATTCCCAGCAACGAACCCAGGACAGACCCTGGGACCAATTCTCAGAGGCTGCTCCTCCAACTGTTAAGTTCTGTGTGATCCTGGAAGATGAGTGGCATATTTAGGTCAGGTAAGACTTTCATTCTTCAGAGTAAGTGAGAACACGATGGAAAGGATGAGAGAGGTAATACAGACTGCCTATCCTCTATTAAAAATGCTTAGGACCAGAAACTTTAGTTAGTTTGGAACATTTGCCTGTGCACAATGAGATACTTAATCAAAGAGACACAAGCCTAAACACAAAATTTAATTTTGCCTTTTTTTTTTTTTTAACATCTTGACACTCAGGGCTCAGGGTAATGAGCCCTCCGATTTAATCAGGACCCACTACATGAGGCCAGGCATGGCAGTTCTGCTTATGACATCATATCCTTGCTCAAAACGTTTCTCTTTTTGGAGCAGTTTGGATTTATAGGTTTGGGATTAGGGAATGCTCAACCTGTAAGCAGAGTAAAGAGAGCTCTGAAAGCCACTGGTGACTCACCGTGGCATGCTAGAGTCCAGTGACACCTCTGATTAGCACAAGGAACTGTTAGCTGAAACACAAAGTTCTATGTGTATACACAGCCCTATGCAGAAACGCACAAGATTTGCTAACCTCCCATCCACGTGGGTTCATCATGTAAAGGCAATGCATATGGAAAGGAGACCCCCTGCCCTTTCAGCGTGCATCTGTTGACTGTCCAATGGACAGAGTCTCTAGAAAGCAATGGGTGAATTCCCCATTTCTTTGGCCAGCCACAGCCACAGCCACATCGAACACTGCATGACATGCACCCTTTTGCGAATTGCATTCCTACCCCAAGTTTCTCCCTGTTTTTAAATCTCTAACACATCAACATGAGAAGTAAAGCCTGGGGTCACTAAACAGGCTCAATTGATGGGCCAAACTCTGGGAGATACTGAATCACAGCTGTCACTCTCACCCTATAAGGATTCACTGAGCCAAGTTGAATTTAAGCCATGAAGAAAGTCTGAATTCTGCTACCATCTCTTCAGAGTTTAGGGTCAATAATAATTCCTGAGCTACAGTGGAAAAAGAGAGCTCTTTTGCAAGAAGATCTCTGTATGCATTAATTTCTGATTATCACTCTTCTAAGAAGTAGCTTTTAAAGCATAATTCAAATATTAAATATTTTGTCCTCTTGTTAATCATTTTATTAACCCAGACATTCTGAACTTAAGGGTTAGCAAATACCAATTTATACATATATATTTTTTACAACTCTACAAATAGGAAAAAGGAAATTATTTTTTTTTTTAGCAAAAAAAAATTGACGATTAGGTTAACAACTACAGCAGGCATTCAGATGGAGCCTTTTAAAATTCCATACATTTGAGTCATGCCTAGCTCTTACTGGTTCCCTCTCCAAAAGGCCAGTGTTTGACGGCTCAGAGATAAGAACAATCTCAGCTCTCCCAATCATCAAAGGGTTTCCGTTTGTGCAGCTCTTCAGACAGATTGCAGTGTGAACAGTTCACACAGCACAGGCATCTGGTCCACAAAACAGCTGCATTTCAGGGTAGCTCTGGCCATCTGAGTGTCCTGGGTACAACGCAGAGACAGTTTCTCCTAACATATTATATGTCTGTGGCCTTTGCATTGGGAGGGAAAAAAAAAAAACAATATTTAAGTAATGTGCTGACTTAAAATGTTTTTTTTTTTACTTTTCCCCTTAATGAGAACTGTATAAACAGAACAACCTCTGGGAAGCAGAGGTGTGTCAGCTGGGGAACCAAATGCCATCAGTGCACTTTAAATGCTACTATAGGTGAAAGGTTAAATGACAACAAACAGTAAAATACTTGAGTTCTTGGTTCTCAACCCAAGTCAAGTTATTATAGTAAGTATTATGTCCTTTGGTATGCGATAAAATATTTTTCTTATTTTAATCAGACTACACACAAAGTGAAACACTATGTCCGGTTATCTAAGACCTAGACCAAGGAACAGCATATTTGAGATATATATGATGTTTTTATATCATCCTATAAGTTTAGACTTGGGGACTTTCCCTTACACAATTATAATAACTGTTATAAAGTTTTAATAGTTAGATCTTTTTTTCCATCTTCCATTCTATCACTAAATAGAGAAGTTTTGTTTTTATAGATTCAGATTTGAGTCTTAGGCTTCTAAAAGACCTAAAAAAAAGTTGTTCAGATCAGTTTCCAACAATTGAATGAATTCATTCCCCTTGAGCTTGGTGGTCTGTGAGTAGGGCTCTGGCATTTTTCTAAACAAGACATCACTCTAGATGGCTGTGTGGTTAGTCCTTCCCCAAAGCTTTCTTCCTCGAATAAACAATTATTCTCATTTCTGCTTAATAGCAGTCACATAACTCAAAGGTATGATGTACCAACCTTAAAGGTATGATGTACCAACCATAGCAAGAAGGATGCTTTTCAGAAACAAAGAAAAAAAATGGCTCTCTCCAAGCAGAAAGAACATTCTGCCCATGTCTTTGTAAAGAACTATGTCTTCCTATTATACGTGCAGACACAGTTTGGTTCCATAAAATCAACTTTAATCTCCAATGTTTTGGTAACTCTAGAAGGCGCTATAGAAGGCAAGCTTTCACCAACGTTTCCCCTAACCCTCCTCTAGTGGGGTTTGGAAACACTGGAAGCCCATCACTAGAGGAAATGATGATTTTGAGAATGGCTTTGTTTTCCACTCAAAGGGTGAGTGTGAGCAGATTATGTCATAAATTTTAAGTGTGAAGCTACAGAGCCATTGCCTCACTTTGACACCATCAAACGTTTGCTCGCTTCATGTCATTTGTTTCTTGTTCCCCCGTGGTTTTCATAAGAAGGATTCAGAGACTGGTGAGTAATAAGAGAAATGAAGCTAAGGGTCAGGCACACAACTTCAGGGAAAGACAGTAATGGCCGTGGTCCTTTGTCTATGAACAATGTCATCAAGTAAGAAACTGAAAGTGAACTGTCTTTGCGTGTTGTCCTTGTTCTGATTATTTCCAGAACCTGAGAGGCCACTTCCAAGAGCCCCATTTTTCTAGTGTCAGAGGCATTTCATCAGATGCATAACTTACGCCCTGGCTGTTTTAACATTCCACTCCTTCAAAATATTACTCCTTAATATAAGCCTCTAACATTTAAAAACCATATTTTAAAATTAAGACTTAATTTGAATGACTACTTTTTGATAAGAATTGTTTGATGGCTTTCTCTGGGTAGATTAAACACAAAAGCTGGATTGGTCTGTGTAGAAACTTCTATATAAAAATTTGTGTTGCGTGCGCTTTTCCAAGAAAAGTAGAAAAAAAAGAAAAGAAATTAATGTGGACTCACAGGCATCTAATTGGCTTTGTCTTTTGATTCTGTTTGACCATCAACAATGATGTAAGACTTGGACAGAGTGCTGCCTCTCTGAGCCATCATTAAATTTCTTGTTTAACTTTAGTGTATACACTTCATTGTGCTTTGGGGAATGACTCTAGAAGACTATAAACTAATGCTTTGCAAAGCCTAAACAAAAATGTTTTAAGCCTGTATTAGACTTCCTTTTATGATGTGAGTAGAAAATATAGTGATTTTTCTTTTAACCAATTATACATTTCTAATGAGAGAGAGAGAAGAGAGCACAAAACAAAACCACAAAGAAAAAGCTTGGAGCTGGGTAACTTATTCAGTGCCGTTTGGAAATACTATTGGGAATTATGGATGCACAAATGCCTTCAGAGAAGTTGGTCCCTTTATAGGACAATCACCATCCATGTTTATTTATTTATTTAAAGGCCCATGAAACAAAAACTAAAGGCAAATATTTTCCCCCAATCAAGCCATCATAGTATGTTAACTAATTATTGTAAAATTAATGCCATTTACCAAGATTTTAATGATATTTCATACTTTGTTCTGAAAAACCAACTAGGTTCTACAAAGCTTGAATGGCTTGTTTTTATCCTGACCAATTCACTCTATAATTGGCACAGAAGATTTATAATCCATCAAAGCTAAACTGGGCAATTAGCCTCCATCTTCTTTCATATCAAAAGGAGTTACAAAGGCTCAAGCCCTGAGGACTGTCATCACTTACAATTATTTCCAACACACTTTCTTCAAGCCATGATAATGGTTAGTCAAAATGGTAATCACAAAAACAGGCCCCATCCAAATTCATTACAAAGTCAGCTAACATCCCCAGACTGTGCAACTATGTAAATGTTTGCACCGGTATTTTTATGTATTATGTGACTCAAAGCTGTGACACTTCCGGAACTATGTTTGGTGGTTTCAATACTCTTGCTACTTAGTGTCAGCAAGAGTGATGTCCTCCAGCCAGTGCCTCCCCAGGGAGCCATCCTTACAGAGGAAAGAAAATCAATGAGCAAGGTATTAATTAGTCTAATAACACTATACAATCATGAGCCAAGTAGTATTCAACTTATATCTTTTGAGCTTCAAGGGACTGTTAACACATGTGTCCCAGGTCTGAGGAAACAAACCCTGTTCTTCATATCATCTCAGGGTGTGGGTGGCATGACATTGGGGGCAGGTGAAGAAATGACTCATTAGCTAGTAGTTGAAGCTGGGCTCCATTTGCACCATCAGAGCTATTTTAACAAGGTCATAGGCCTATATGGCGGGAAACATTTCAAAGAACTTTTGCATTATTTCGAATCTGTGTGCAACACTGCACATTCACAAAGGAAATGAAGTAGCTCCATCCATCTTTATCAACACAGAGAACAGTCTCGTGTGTAGTTTAGTATCTCTACTATTTCCTCTGGTGCTTCTAAGGCAAAAATTAGCATGTTTGAAAATTATGCATGTAGTCAAAACAAGAAAACATTGCTATGCTTAGATTGGGTCATTCTGACGTGTCTCAAACTCAAGGCTTGAGAGTCTGCTGTGTGGTCCTGTTCCTCGGACAACAGAATGAAAAATCTGGTTTTAATTACACACACACAAACACAGACACACACACACAAAGAGAGACTCATGTATACGTAGCTCATCTCTAGATTCTTTTCATTTGTTCTCCAAGAAAGAGACAACCAGAAATAGTTCTTTAAATACACATGTAACACTGTCACAATAAAAGAAAAGAATTCTATGAGTGGTGCCCCTGCTTTCATAAAGGCCTTCTGTTCTCCTTACTATTTTAAAGAACAGCCACACTCAAACTAATGATTTGGGTTTTGTTATTTTAGATATTAAAAAAAAAAAAAACAAAATAATCTTTGCCTATATTAGTTTAAATGGTACAATATAGTTATTCACGAATGCTCATTTGCCTACTGATTTTTATCCTCTCACTTCTTAAAATGGAGGAAAATTCATTAAGATGTGGTGGTAGCATCCTTTTTGGGCTGTGCTGGACCCTAGGTTCATTCATCAGTATCACAAAAGCAGAAGGATATTTACAGAGAAGAAAGTACAGGTAATTGCAGCTAGACAGAATATTAAGCTTATTTTAAGTCTGGTATTTTTTTTCTAAACTAAAAATCTCATTTCTAATACTCTGTTTCTGGAGTTTTATAAAAAGAAGTAGGTGAAGCTGGAAAAGGAGAAGGCCAGACAATGTTTGAATTTTGAGATATCCAATGAGGTTCCGTCTATTGCATTTAACATTTGATAGATGAGTGAAGCATGTGTAAGTTTCAGAGACGTGGTAGAAAGACGGACCCTGATTCCTCCCCTAACCTTTTTGCTAATCCTGTAGCAGTTAAAGACGCCTTAATTAACAACAGCGTTGCTGCCAGTTTTGTTCATTAACAGCTTTGTTGTGCGTTCTCTGTGGCTCTGTGTATTTTGTCTGCCATGTACAGGAATTCAAACCCATTGGTACCACGCACAACAGAAGGGCCCAGCCTTTCGTTGCAGCAGCAAACATTGATGACAAAAGACAGGTAGTGAGCGCTTCCTATAACTCACCAATTGGGCTATATTCAGCTAGCAATATCCAAGACGCGTTGCATGGACAGCTGCGGAGTCTCATCCCCAGTTCGCCTCAAAAGTAAGTACTGACCTTTGGCTCTGGCCAGTGTTCCTCACAGTGCGGTGCGCTTTCTTTTCAGAGGTCCAGCTCCTGCCGTTTCCTCCTTTGCTTTCTTTGTTTTTTATAGAGAGGCATCTCAAACTCGGCTCTAATTGCTCCAGAGCCCTGTCACCCAGTTCCTGAATGGTTAGTGGCTACATGGATTTTTAAAAAAAAATAAAAGGAATCTCTTGTCCTGCTATCAGCCTTTTCAGTAATGTCAATATTTTCTGGTAAATCATTCTCTGCACAATTCTAATGCATTTACATTTTACCCACCAAAAGATCAAGCCTCCGCTGAGGAATTTTTCTTTAACCCCCCACCCCCTTTTCTTTTACAGGATGTGAACTACTTTGAACACAAGCACAATATTCGGCCCAAACCTTTCATAATTCCAGGCCGAACCAGGTCATAAATTCTGAGATGAAGTTTGAAGTGCATGCTGCTTTAATCAGTTCTTACTAACCACCGGGGAAAGTAACTTCTAGGTGTCTGGGGTGATGTCTCATTGTGAAGCTTATTTCAAAAGCAAAAAGAAACAACTCACTTAGCATTGAGCAGCAGCCAAATAGCATCCATTACTAAGAGTAAATACTGAGTAGATGACAGGGCTGTGAAATTTTATGTGATCACCGTGGTTATTTATAACTAGCGCCCCGAAGACTCTGGGACTCCCATCCAGAACACAGTGACCTTTGAGTCAGGTACATGTGCCCTGTCCCAGGTCAGGAAAGCCCAGCCAGCGGGAACAAAACATGGAAACCAGCCCTGGGTCGTAGCAAGGGGAAGCTGGGATCACTTTACATGTTTGACAGACTCCGGCCATCCCACCTCAGTGCCTGCTTCTCTTGGCACTGTCAGACCCAGCATTTTAGCCCTTATCTAAAAACAACTGCTCAGAGGGATGGATCCATACAAAGGAAGAAAGGCTCCTTGAGGTGAAAACTTTTCTATCTGGTGAAAAATCAATATAACAGGAGAGAGGGAAGCCAGTTACAGAGAGTGCTTCGGACTCTCATGGGATATGTCATATAAGCCACAGTAACAATAACAAACAAAATCTAAAATCTTATTTGTCAATCAAAGAAGCGATTCTGGCTACCGTCTTTCCCAGACTCTTCTCTAGAGCCTGAATGTCAGTTGAAAGCAACTTCAGGAAACCTCAAACCCATCACTCTGACCTTCGGCTGGTTAACCCAAGGAAGCTGTTTATCACACTAAGTTGATCCTGTCTGGTTAGCAATAGCTCATAATGGTTTGCCTCAGGTGGCCCAAGCTGGTAGCCCATAGGTGAGCTCATTCCATACGCATGACTTACTTAACTCTCCCACTGTTTCGCTTTATGGGGGGAGGGAATAATGGAATGTTTTCACATGCCATGTTCATCACTGTTAAGCCCATGTTAACTGGGTACATGTCACAATTACGTGGCTGACCCTGTAGGCACTTAACTTCTCCTGTGGCTAGGAAATCATTACTACATAGATGACTTACAAATCATATATTAAAAGTGTAGACCCTTCAGTAAGCTACAGGAAGGGCCAGAGGATTGTCTCCAAATAAACCACACAAGTTTCATAATGTCAGACACAGAAAGAAGCATGAATGGGAGAATGGAAGCATGATGCGAAGAGAGCATCTCTGTCTGACTAGCCCCATGTTGTATCCCCAACACCTAGAAATGAGCCTGGAACATAATGAATGCTCCTCATGTGCACACTGGGTAGAGAAATAGAATCCCAAGAGTGCCCAGTGTTTCCTGAGTGTGAGACGGAAGAACCGGAAGCTGTCCACCTTTCCACTCTGCACTACCCTCTCTGTTCCCTTGTTTCCACTCCTCCTTCCATCTTTTCCACTTTTACCACTGCTGACCCTACGCCACTGCACCTTCAGTCACGGGACACACCGCGCAGAGTTTAACAGTTAAAAATGCTACTTCGCCACTGAATAATACACAGCAAAATATAGTGAATAAATATAATGCCCGAAGACGCATTCCACAGTGCAAAAATTCAAAGGGAGTCAGAGGGGCTTCCTTCTGGGTTGTCTTAACTCGAGCGTGGTGGGTGACAAGGGCAGCCCATTTGCAAGTTTGTCACCCGCGCAACAGAATTTAGAAGGGCAGGAATTGTCTAAAAAATAGGTAAATAAATCGAAAGGGCCACCTGTGCACAGATCCTAAAGACTGGTGGAAATGCCTCTCCACGCTTCTTTTCTTCCTCTGTCCCCTCACTATTTGCTCTAGCCTCGGAACTTTTTGCTTTCTCCCAGTGATTTTTTTTTTAATGAAAGTAGAAATTCAAGGCAACATTGCCAAACTACTGCTACACTGTGAGTGAGCAACTCGCTTCATCTGAAGTGAAACAGGTGTAGAGGATTTGCGTGTCCAGGCACCTGGTGTTTTCCTACTAGCTCTGGCTCATTTGGTTACTTGGTCATCGCGGGTGAAGCCATTTAAAGCACCAGCATTTTTATACTGAGATATGCTACATTTTAAAGCCAAAGCATAATTCAAAATAGGCACAGGGTATTTTTTTATAGACCCGAATGGAAAGATGAAATGTTTCTGGGTAGTTTTAAACAAATCACATCCAGAAATATGCCCTCCTCACCAAAAGTTCGAACGCATTCCCAGGGAAGTTTGTTGCCTGTGCGAGAACCCACCTGGTTGTGAAGTCATGGATGTCACCGTCCCCTTGACAGCCGTTCTTGCCCCCTCACCAAGACAGCCTCTGGGAGATGGCATTAGCATCTCCATTCAGGGTCACCAAGAATAAGTCACTGGACTCATGAGGATGTTCCATGGGGCCTGGAGTCCATGAGAACCATCTTACGTAAACCATCTACAGAGGAACTTTTTAAACTTTGTCTTGGATATTTGTCAAAGGCCATTTTTGTTGGTGTTACATCATTTCCTCCATTTAGGAGAAACGGGGCCCCTCATTCGAACAACGAAAGAAGGAGAAATAGAAGACACAGTCTTTGACAAATTAAAACCATATGCACATACATATCAATACACGATACCTAATAACAGAAAAAACGATTACTAATTACAGCTCAAAATAAAGTATATCTCTGAGTTCACGCAGATAATAACTTATCCAATATCTAGCATCCTTCCTGCTACGCAGGAAGCCAGAAAAGATCTAAATCTCTCCTGACCTTCCATCGTATTTGGCCCATGTCCCTCAAGATTTAACTCACTGTCTCAAACTCCTGTTTTTCAAGTTCATGAACCTCATTACACTTACGTCAAATCATCTAATCCTGACCAAACTGCTCTACAAGAGAGAATTTTCTCCGTCTTTTAGCAGTGAAAGTCAATTTTAGAAATTAGTGCTGAGAAAGAAAGAAAGAAAGAAAGAAAGAAAGAAAGAAAGAAAGAGAGAGAGAGAAAGAAAGAAAGGAAAAAAAGAAAGAAAGAAAGAAAGAAAGAAAGAAAGAAAGAAAGAAAGAAAGAAAGAAAGAAAGAAAGAGAGAGAGAGAGAAAGAAAGAAATGAAAGAAGGAAAATGGTAAATAAGGCCAGATGGTATTTTGGTCCATGACCTAACTAATGCCCTGGATGTGTTTTAAAGAGATTCTCAACAGGCAGGAGCTAAAGGGATGGTGTAAGAAGTTGGATTGTGTAACACAAGACCCTAAAAAACAAAAAACAAAACAAAAAAAAAAACTTATTTATTGACAGTATTGTCCCAACTAATCAACTGCAACATTTATTTTTTAAAAGTCACTGTTGAGCATCCTTTTGGGTTTTATTGTCTCTGTGGGGCTGTGATTAGCAACAGTAGCCCTTTAAAGTAAATGCAAAGATGGGGTCCCATGGTCTCAGTTGAGATTGTGGGCTTTGGGGAACCACATCACGAATATGCACGTGTCTCAAGTTCACAGCAATACTAACAGGCAATCATGACGGAGGCTTACATTGATATCGACACCTCTTTTTGCTTTAATCTAAACGGCTGGACATTCTGAAGACTCTCATAATATACGCCATTTTCTCATAAAATGTATCTCTCTATGTGTTTAAAACGCCTGTAATTAATTAACAAAATGCATGTCAGCGTGGCCAGTCTCCAATTCAGTTTCACAAAGAGTACAGAATCTCCCTAGTTCTTGACTAGTGTGATCAACCTCTCTACTATTCTTAAAGTCCTAACCCTGGTCCTTCAAAGGAAATAAAAAATATGCATGGAAATATGTGTGTGTGTGTGTGTCAAAGTCTTGCATGAAACACCTGTGTAGAAAGGAAATAAACCTTAGCCTTGAGTAGCACTGAGATGCTGTGAAAGGACCTGTTTGTTTGTTCTGTGATCATGGGCTGGAAGGCGGTGAGCATTTATTGACTGTTTCTGGTTCCTGTATTAGGTTACAGGGAAGTTTTTAAACTATATTCCTAACAAAATAAGTGAACAAAAAGTAATATATTGAAATAATAACAGTAAAATATTGATAACATAGCTCTAAACTATGAGTTTTACTTAGCCTCACCCACAAATTTCCAATTACTATCCAGTCAAGCTTGACCCTGTGACTGAAGCATGATTATTTTGAAACGTTTGGCCTAAATTTTCATGCTATCCAATGTTACTACTTGTGAAGTAGCATTCATTAATATTTTAAATATAAACTTCAGAGACACAAAAGGATATCTAACTAATCCTCCTCCACCATTTACCTGTAATATTATCAGAAACGAAAATTATTTGGCCTGTTTTTGGTTTTTTTGTTTGGTTTTTTTGTTTTTTTTAAATAAGAAAGACATTTGGTTTCTACCTGCTTTGTGTACAACTCTTTCTACGCGTTACTCCTTAACTCGGTAGGATCAAGCCAACAAATGCGCTATCGCCTGCACCTTTTTATTTGGTTCAAGTTTTCTGCATGTGAATTTCTCGTCGTCCCTTTTGGAAACACCTTCTAGCCGGTGTCCTGTCCCCACTTCTTCCTAACCTGTCTGTACTTGTCTTCTCTGTCCTTCCGGTTCCGTGCGTCCTCCCTGGGTAACGCGGTCACTAACACAGTGGCTGCAGCACTCCTTCCGGTATTGACTGTGGCAGCGGACGTAGCACCCCTTCCTCCGTCAGTACTGTCAGTACGATCTGCCCAGGTGACTTGAAAATTGCTGCTAAGATGGCCCCTAACATTCCTTTGGAAATGGAACTTCCGGGCGTGAAGATTGTACATGCTCAGTTTAACACACCTATGCAGTTGTACTCAGATGACAATATTATGGAAACACTTCAGGGTCAGGTTTCCACAGCTCTAGGGGAGACACCTTCCATGAGGTAATATGACACTTTTTGAACCGTGGGCGTATTGACTAAACACATGGGTGATAGCGACTTTAATGGTGTCTTTTAACGTTGTCTTTGTGGAAAGAAAGCTATGGGAAAGCTTTAAGGGGAAAAAAAAAAATGTTTCTGAAACATTTAAACCTGGTAATAAAACTTATCTACATAAATGATGGGACAGATAGAAATAAAATAAAATTACATAAAGACCAAATGGATGTCTTTTGAAAGCTTCAGTATACTTTATAAGTGCCTGATTTAGTATTCTCAAAAATGGCTTAAGATCTTGCATGTCTGTCTTTTGTTGGTGAAAAGATGGGGGTTGGGGGGTGATGTCCAAACACTATTATGAAATAACCCTTTCTCTTTTTCTATGGGAATGTGTGGAGAGGGATTGTTTTGCTGTTTAAAATGTTTGCATTTCTTTAACTTTTTATAAACAAATGCTTCAAGCTGTTAGTGAAGATATTCAATTCCCGTTAGTGTCTATTTTGACTAGTTTCTTCTTTGTTATTAATGTGTGTTCCAAGTACTTTTGCCAACAGAGGTTTTTCCAATTAAAAAGATTTATTATGGAATAAAATCCATAATTGCTTCTTTTAATATTGCAAAATCACTTTTCATAAATTATGGTGACACTTAAGAATGCCATGTAGCAATATTAAAGTTGTCTCAGGGTTTATACGGTGAGTTAATTCCGAAGCTTTATTTATTTATTTATTTTCAGGTAGAATATAGGTGACTAAAATATGCACAGATAGATTTCTAGGTAATAACAGTTAAATAAAGTGTTTAGTCCCTAACAAGTAGAATTATGATGACATTTTAATTGTTCACTATTTACTGAAAGCATAGTAGATAAAATTGTTCTCGTTATTATTGTGACTATTTGAAAATAGAATAATCAGTTTAGCAAAAGTGCTGATAAAAGCTACATAAAAGCCTTATGAGGTTTGAAATACTGTTTTTAATGGTGTCTTCTAATGTAATATAAATTTCATCAACTTAGACGTTATATGGAACTTGCTTTTATATCAAAAATAGTAATATTTAAACTTCTATGAGTGAGGCTAATCAAAATGAGCTCACTCCTACACTCTTATGTCTGCTGTCTTTTTGCTGAAAAAAAAAAAGAGGAAGTTTGTTCGCATCTATGATTCTATAGCCATCAGACACAAGTCTCGTCTTTTAAGATGTATGTGTCCTGACAGAAGTCACAGACGAGAATTCAAACATATTTCTTCTCCTAGAGATTCACTGGAGAGTCATTCCCTGCTCAGCACCTGCCGTGAGCAAGGGATGACCGTCACTGTCGCGTTGCCCCCCGGCCCTTCTGACGGTGTGTCACCAGCTGTCTCTGTGTTTCAGTGAGCCTGCGGCCTCGGTACCCCCTCAGTCCGATGTGTACCGTATGCTCCATGACAATCGGGATGAGCCAACTCCTCCTCGCCAGTCAGGCTCCTTCAGGGTGCTCCAGGAGCTGGTGAACGACGGGCCGGGTGAGCCTTGCTAGTCCCTACTGACGTATTTGTAAAGCCCCTTGAGTGGGTGGGAAAGAAGAACTGAGCATGAGGGAAGGGCTGTCTGAATGCTCGTTCTAGTCAATAATCAAGTGGGTCTTTGTTCAGAAGGATTCAGGAAAAGAATTTTCTGGACATATCCAAGTATTCATGGTATGAAACCACTCATTCAAAATTTAAAAAGCACCAAAAAAAAAAAAATTCTACCCATAGTAGTCAAGAGCCAGCATAGCTTATTAATCAAAGATTTAGTTTTCAACAGATGCTATAAGATTTCTCAGCCTCTCCTCCCCAAACTCCTTAGAGTATCATCAACCTCAGGAAACACACACACACACACACACACACACACACACACAATGAAGCCTGCTGTGCCCCTTGCTATCTCACCCTATACAAAGTTCCTTGCATCTAGCATTACCAAATTTTCACAATAAGTCAGGAAGGCAGAGACTATTACTTGCCCCACTTGACCAATGAGAAACAGAGGCCTAAGGAAAGCAGAGTTGGGTAAGGCCACACAGCCAGTATGTATAAGAGCTGACCTCTAGGGGCCTGGAGAGATGGTTCAGCAGTTAAGAGCACTGGCTGTTCTTCCGGAGGTCCTGCGTTCAATTCCCAGCAACCACATGGTGGCTCACAGCCGTCAATAATGGGATCTGATGCCCTCTTCTGGTGTGCAGGCGTACATGCAGATAGAGCACTCATACACATAAATAAATAAAATATTTGTAAAAGAAAAAAAAAAGAAAAAAGAAAAGATGACCTCTGGCTTGTACTTCAACTCATGCTTTTTGTCCGAATGTAAATGTGCTTTTTAAGAGGCCCCGAGTCAGTTCCTGGCAACTGCAAGGTGGCTCACAGCCAACTATAATGTCATCTAATGCCCTCTGCCAGCATGCAGGCATACACGCAGATAGGACACTCACAGACAAAATAAATAAATACATCCTTTTAAAAGTGAGGCTGGAGAGGTGACTCAGTAGGTAAGAACACTGAATGTTCTTCCTGAGGACTCAGGTTCAATCCCCAGCACCCACAAGGCAGCTCACAACTGATTGTAACTCCAGGACCTGACACCCTCACACAGACAAGCAGCCAGAACACCAATGCACATAAAATAAAAATAAATTATTATTTAAAAAAAAAAAAAAGGCATCCAATGAAAGACGCCCTGTCCTCCAAACACCTCGCAACAGTCCCCGCCAGCACGTTTTCTGAGTAGTTTCACTTTTAAAGGGGTCTAGCTCAGAACCAGGCCTCTCCGGCACCGCTGGGCCCTGCTGCCTTTGAGACCACAGTGCAGACGCGGCCCAAGAATCCTTCGGGCTAAAGTGCATGCTTCAAAATAGACGTGAAAGTGCTCACTCTAAAATAGACTCCACGTAGGAACTGGAGCCAGCTGCTCCTCGCCATAAATGGAAACACTTTGTTTTTTTTTTTTTCAGAGGACCGTCCTGCTGGAACTCGAAGCGTGAGGGCTCCGGTTACTAAGGTCCACGGCGGGGCTGGCAGCGCCCAGAAGATGCCTCTCTGCGACAAGTGTGGGAGTGGCATTGTGTACGTCTTGCTTTTTAACTCACTCGGCAATTCACTCTGAGCCTCGCTGGCACTTTTCCACGCCTTGTACTTTTAGGCCTTTTTGGAGAAAAGGCAGTTTTTGGAAAAGTTCAATTTCTAGTCATTAACTTAAAATAGAACATTTATAACACTTCAGCATATTTGGCCAGTGCGCCTCAGTCATAACCTCAAGACGGCGTAGAACACGAGTAGCAGTCTGTACCTTCAGAAATACTTCCGTGAAAAAAAAAGAAAGAAAGAAAAACTGCCCAAACACGTATATGAAAACAATTTCCAAGACTCAAGATCTTCCTTTTAAAAGTTAATTCCATTAATATATGATCTTTGAATACTTACTTTTCTATAAAGAAGAAAAATTCAGGGCCCGTTGGTCTGTGAATTAAAATGCATTTTGTGACCAACCATTTTAATTACACAAATATCAAGATCTAGATATTTTTTACAGCACAGTCAAGCTCCCGTCGTCGGGAGACTCCGTGTGTTAACAGCCACCTTTGCACATTTTTCAAGTGAATCAGACGTGGCCACCTCTCCTGCCCTTTCATCCTCTTCTCCCACCACGAGCAGAGACAAAATTTACCCAGTTATCCAAGAGAACGGTGGAGGAAGGAGGCCCTAGTTAGAACCAAGGGAACAAAGTGGGAGACAGGAAGAAAAGGGGATGGCTGGACAGCACCTCTGAAAACACACAGCTCATGGTGTCGCCAAAAGTAACGTTGTTCCCCAATAACAATATCCTCTGTCGCTGGTTAAGGTGAGAGCAGATGCTGGGCCACCGGGATAGGAAGCCCACAGGGGAACCCCCAACTCTGCAGCTCAAAGCCTGTCTCAAAGCCACCGAACCCCTTTAAGGGGTTCAGCCCCCATAAATCATAGCTCCCACTTACAAAGAAGCTGGGTTGGGGCGGTGGGGGCATGCGACAGAAAGTACCGTTCCCTGACTTGTGCCTTTGAGACTCTAAAGCCTTCCCAGCTCAGTATCAGAGAGGAAGCTGATGGCGTGGGCAAGTTCTGACATACAAATGCCGGAGGTGCGCTGCGTTCCCTGACTGTGGACAGGCCAGCTGACCGCAGCCTCCCCTCTCTTCCTGTGCTGTCTGTACCTTCTGTGTCTTCTCTCCCCACAGAGGTGCTGTCGTCAAGGCCCGGGATAAGTACCGCCACCCCGAGTGCTTTGTATGCGCCGACTGTAACCTCAACCTCAAGCAGAAGGGCTACTTCTTCGTGGAGGGAGAGCTGTACTGCGAGACCCACGCGAGAGCCCGCACGAGGCCCCCCGAAGGCTACGACACCGTCACTCTGTACCCCAAAGCTTAGGCCCTTTGCAGGCGAGAACACGCATGCACGCACCCACGCGCACTTACACTGGCCAATGATGCGGAGCTTCGAGCAGGAAATCCAAAGCCGAGGCTTTTAGACATTTATCTGACAGTGTAGTAAAGGAAGGGTCTGTCAAGTGACAGAAACAAGTGCTACCTATGGCTTGTAATTCTTTATCTGTGGGGTTAGCAATGGTGACATCTAAAGCAATAATGTTTCGGTGTCACGCTCCACAGTTTCCATCTGTTACCCAACTATCCCAAGTGTAAACACCTGGCTATTTGGGGGAGTTCAAGTTGTTTCTCCTTCAAAGTTGCTTTTGGTAATTGTAGTAAGTAATGTCAAATAACAATCTTGTATTCTAAAAAAAACAAAAACAAAAAAACATGGCAGATGTCCGTGTCTGTTATTCTTAAAGTGCATGTCAGGAAGGCATTACCAGGATTTGTTTTGTATGCAAACAGCTGTATCACGATAACACAAGCGTAATAAATACTCGAAGCGTGTTTTCTTTTTTAAGTTCATACTGAATGGATTCACCAGTTCAGCAAGAAGACCCACCCATATCTTAGCATGTGCACTAAGCATTTAAATATTTTAAGGATTCAGCTGGTGGCGGCACACACCTTTGATCCCAGCACTCTGGAGGGATAGACAGACGGTGAGTTCAAGGCCAGCCTGGTCTACAGAGTGAGTTCCAGGTCAGCCACCGTTACTCAGAGAAACTGTCTCAAACACACACACACACACACACACACACTTTTTTTTTTTTTAAGGAATCTATGTTCTCTTTAGTTTTTGTAGTTTAGTCTTTTGTGTATATGGTAGGGGTTGGACTGTGTTCGTGTGTGTGTGTGTGTGTGTGTGTGTGTGTGTGTGTGTGTGTGTGTG